AAAATACCTACATATCGAACGTTTAAAACAGAACTGGACTAAGTGAATTTCTCTCAAAAAAAAAATGTTTTTTTTAAACAATATCCTATGTCACTTGCATGCTGAACGCGAGAGTGTATGCCTCGTTGATGTATTATAAATAGTTCGGCTTATAAACCATTATTCGCACGTAACAATCCTATGTCCATTATTCGCATATTTATATATGAACATAGGATTGTCATCTAAAATTTATGCAAGTACTTTTTATCTTCCGAGAATTTAAATAGAAATTAAATTTTGATCTTTAATTTGATCTCCGGAAGAATTTGCAAATTGTGATTTATAGAATAGGTTTGCCCTAGGCAATAAAATATCAATTTTATATAAGTAAGTAGAATAGATTAATGTTCACTTTGCTAAGAAAATTTTTCTGAAAAATAAATTTTACTTGTAATGTAGGATATTGTTTTATAAATTTCCGATAAAATTACAGGATGTATTTTGTTGAACTAACAAATATTTTAATTTCAATCAACAATCAACAATTTTTGTTTTGATTATGAATTGTAAAATTATTGATTAATAAGATTTCCTATCAAGAAACAATAGTGTTAAATTTTTTTTTTACTTTTTCTTTTATTTTATCTGACTCAATAAGTTCGTTGTTTGTTGAAAAGAAGCGAAATGATTCACCATTTTTGCTTCTTAACTGATACGCACTCGGTTAAAAAATATTTTTAATTTTGATTTTGAACTAAAGCAGTCGTGTTACATTTTTGATTTAGTCTATTTACCTATACAATTTTATTTGAAAGAGTTTATGTATTGTTTTGTAAGAATCTTAAATCTTATGAATTTTTATTTTTTGATTTTATAAAAAAAAAATTTAATCAATTTCAAAGTCCACCAACACTTTTTTTTTTCTTTTTTTGAATACCACATGTACACGTCAGTGTATTACACTTTTTTTTTCTGATTTTTGATTTAAAAAAAAAAAGACACGTCATTTAACGGTAAGTAAGTAATTTATGTGTTTTTAAGTGATTTTTTTATCATTTCCGATTGTGCTTGTTTGGCTGTTAGTTAAAAATTAAGTTTAAAATTATTTATTGCTAAATTTGAATTAAAAAAGTAAAGTTAATTTTGTATCGATATTGGGGCTATTCAATCGAAATCCTTGTAAATAGATTTGATATTTTAAGTTCTTATTGAAGAAATTTATATTGTAAGTTTTTTTTAATTAGTTATTAGTAAGTGATCTACGTTTCAGTGAAGAAGATAGCAATTTATTGCATTTGAAAGCAGATATATTATGCGAGGTTTTTAACAATTGTTTCTATTCTTTTAATAGTCTGATCATAACACACTCTGCGACTGCTAATCTTTGCGGTTAAATAGTAAAAATATGGATATCAATATTTTTTACGAATGCGTGTGATATTATTTTGAAAGATCACCTTACTCTGGTACTTATTTTGTTTGTCTTTGTTTGGCAAAGACAGTACTCCACAAATTTTTAATTAAAATTTAAATAAAATTAAAAAGCGAGCTTGTTAGTGAAACTTTTGAATGCATTTGTTTTACTTTATCGTATACCAAATTTTTCGTGCTGACATTTATTATGAACATCAATAAACTGATGATCGTGTCAATAACGTGAATCACTTGCAAATGGCAGTCATATGCAAGTAATCTTTTTCAGCTGGAGTTTTTTTTTTTTATTATTAATGATGTAAAAATCATTTTCTTCCGTCTCTACATCTTAATCAGTCATTTTTAACTATTAGTTTTTGTCATTGCAGCAACACATGAACCACATGCATTAGCAACAAAAAAAGAAATTCACGAAAGTTGAATTGAATTTAAATACTTTTTATGCTAACGTCATAAAGTCTTGAAATTCATGACGTGTGCAAATTGTGTGCAAATGACAGTCTGGGAAAGTGTCTTAGAACTTGATCTAATGGCTATAATATGATGTGTTCGATGTTTCAAGTTTTCTTTTTTTTTTTGGAACATACTTCGTGTACACCATTCAAATTTATGTACATATATAAGTACATATGTATGATGTATACCAGCAATTCATATATAATTAAAAAATATTTTCTTATATAATTAATTTTAACTATATTTTAATATTAAATTTTAATATTAATTTATTGGATGTTTACAAGTAATAATTATAGTTTATCTTTCGTAATTATTATGAAAATTATCTCTGCCAAAAAAAGAAAAAAAAAGAGGAAAAAAAAATTTTTACATTTTATTAAGTTTAGTGAACCAAGAAAATTTTCATTGCCTTGCGTTTTTATTAAAAACTTGTCACGCGATGAAGCAAGATTTATTTGAAAATATTTTCAAACTATAAAGGTCAAATAAAGGTCAAAAAAATAATTAAAAAAAAAAAAAGCGTGTTGTATTTTTTTTTTTTTTTTTCAAAAAAAATTGTCGTACATATTTTTCATTTTTAAAATTAATTTTTGAATAAATATTTAAATATTTCATTTATAAAAACTTAATGCTATACAATCAATTGACAATATTTATTTATTATTTGAATATAAATAAATTTATTATAAATATGTAGCTGTTTTGTTTATGTGCATGTATATAGAATATAATTACGATTATTGATTTTTAATTTCAAATTTTTAAAAATTTTCTTTTAATCTAATTTTTATTTCTAATATTAAAATATTAAAATTAATTTAGGTAATCTATTACTTCTTATATTAAAATACCATTGAAGTGTGTTAACTTTTAAAATTTAATTGTATTAAGATGATAAAAAGAAAGCCATAAAGAAATTCAGGCCCAATTAACACTTTTGTATTCATTATGTAAAAGTTGAAAAAAGTATTTTGGAAAGTAATAGCAATGTTTTATTTATGAGAACGAAAAATTTAGTTGTTCTTAAATAATTTGAAGTTCCTTAAATTCCGTTGCGATATACATATAAATTATTTTAAATTTAAAAAATTTAAAAATTTTTCCATTAAGAATCATGTTATCAATTATTCAAAATTAAGTAAAAAATGTTTACTTTCACAATTATCAAATTTCAATAATGAAAATTTTGTTATTTGTTCGTTTGTTTTATTCTTCTTAATTAATATAATTTTCAACTTTTTTTATATATATTGTTAAAAAATTAAATTTCTTGTTTTATTTTCAAAATTTAAAAATCACGCCACTTAATTAATTTAATTTTGTTTCATAATTGAGATTCAAAAAAAACTACACAACGGCATTTAAAATTCTTTCATTACGCATTTTACGAATTTGATTTAGGCTTTGTTCTTTATAAATATTTTGATAAAAAACGTGGTGAACGTGCTAGAAGGAAATTGCTCGTCAATAATACAATAATTGCTTGTTTTTAATCTTCTTGTAGTTTAAATGACTAAATGATATGTTTAAAATTTGAACCATTGCTTAAATTATATGAAAAGGATCTATATTTATAAGTATAAAGCAATGGTACTCGTATATGTAAACCAAGACGTCATCAAATTCTAATCATATTCAAAATATGTAGTCAACGTTTAATCAATTTTTTCTTACAAAAGATTTAATATTTTAAAAGCATAGTTTAGTAATACTTTTTAAACGTTCCCTTAACCTTAAAATAAACTTTGTTTTTTTTTTTTTATAAATACAATTTTATAATCAGTAGGTAATGGGTCCAATAATAAATTTTTACAATAAACAAAATTGAGCAATCTTTATGCTAGCTAGTTTTATAATTTAAGTACATGTTAAATTGTTCGAATCTCCTGATATAACTATTATATTAATTCGAGCAATATTATATTATTCTATTGTTAATATTTTTTTTTTTGTGTTTTTTTAATTCTTATTATATTTTAAAAATAACAAATATGTATGTGTATTTAAAGAACATTATTTATTTAGTTTTTTTTTTGTTTGGTCATCATTTCATTCAAAACACACAATTATATAGTCAACACTTGACTCTTTTTTGGCACTACCGCACCATTTCTTTTGTTATATAAATTCATATATACATATATACTTTTATATTTCAAACTGTTTACATTTTATTTGAGAATAAATGTTATATATTAGTACATAAGTTATATGTATGTTTTAACAAAATACTATAACAATTTAGCATCCAAAATTATGTCCCACAGAATGTATGATTCTTTAAATGTCATCAATATGATGAAATTTAGTGATTCGCTTAATATGAACATATTTCTATAAACACATTATAAGTGATATTATATAAATATGTAAACAAACAATTCCTCAATTATAGTGTTATAAAGTGTTATACGTTTAATTCTTAATTTTTTATTAAAGTACTTATATCATAATGCATTTGAATGCTATAACAATTTTATAAAATTATTTTGATTTATTTTATTCATTATTATTATATGAATATATTTTTTTAAAATTAATTATAATAAATAGCATTTTATCAAATATTTATTATTGGATTAAGTATTATCATAAGTGTATAGTTTATTTTGGAATTGAAAAAATATTAAATATTTAAACTAGATGAACTATTAGCTGTAGAAAACAAAATATGTATATATGTATATACGTATACATATATACATATCTATATTTATTTTGAAGATTCACAAGATCACTTTATTTTTAAATTTTGAAAACTAAAAATTTACAATTCCCAAATAAACTGTAGCTCATATTCATAGATTATTCCAATAAATAAAAAATATTCAAATTTTCCAATATAATATTTTTTGCAAAAATTAATTTTTTTTTAATAATTTTAATAACAATAATAATAATAAACGACCAGATTGATTTTAAAAATTAATTCTATTTATTGCTTATTCAAATTAATTTTATAATTACAAAAATTTTTATTTTTTTTTTTTTTGCTTTTTCTAAGTATTTTTTTTTTTTTTTAATTAATTTTGTTTTATTTTATGTTCGCATATAAATTTTTATTTAAATTAAATTCAAAACGAAAATTCTAAGAAAAACTAATATATTTATTTATTAAATTGCAGTTACAGAGGCTGGGAGTTAAAATGTCCCAATTGAAACATCAGGAGCAAGCTGATTATCAAAATCGTAAAGCTGTTAATAATAATAACATAAATAAAAATTATAACCATAATAATCATAATATGGGAAATCAAAATGTTAAAAAGACAAGTCAAAAAGGTGGCGGTAATATAAATGGCGGTTCACCAAATGGTACTGGACCAATGGCTACAATAGTAAAAAAATCATCTGCTAAAAATAAAGAAAAAGAACGTGAAGAAAGAGAGAAAATAGTTTTATGGCGAAGACCATTTCAAACAGTCAAATATAGTACATTAGAATGTACAACCCTTATACAAATTTATGGAAAAAAGTAAGATATTTCTTTTAATAAAATTTCAAGAATACCATAGAATCTACTAAAATAACAATACGATTTTATATAGATTTTTTAAAATTATTTTTTAGTTTTTATATACGTTTTTCTTTGAAACTAAAATTAATTTTAAAACTAAATTATTTTTTACTCGTTTCAGATTACTTGAACATAGATTAGTTTTACTTGGAGTTTTAGTATTAATAGCTTTATTAGGTATATTATATAATGTCCCTGGGCGCCATCAATTAGTAATAGAATCGATTCGTTCACAATCATGGTTTATATTATATTGGGTTGGATTGGGTGTTTTATCATCCGTTGGTTTAGGTACAGGCCTTCATACTTTCTTATTATATTTAGGGCCCCATATAGCAAGTGTTACATTAGCAGCATATGAATGCAATGCATTAAATTTTCCAAAACCACCGTATCCAGATGAGTAAGTTGACTTTATCTTAAACCAATAATGTTTTTGATAGAAAATTTTTTCTCTATATTATAGAAATATTAACAAATACGTATACATTTATCTAATTAATATTTATAAATTTTTTTTAACTTTTTAGAATTATTTGTCCGGATGTACCTGATCAAAGTATTACACCAAATCTGTGGAATATTATGGCTAAGGTACGTTTTGAAGCATTCCTTTGGGGAGCTGGAACAGCTCTTGGTGAATTACCACCATATTTTATGGCTAAAGCAGCACGATTGTCTGGTATCGATCCAGATGATGATGATGATTTAAAAAAATTTGAAGAATTACAAAAGAAACAAAAATCGGGTGATTTAAGCGCATTAGATAAAGCAAAATTATTTATGGAAAAAGTTGTAGAAAAAGTTGGATTTTTAGGAATATTGGCTTGTGCAAGTGTAAGTTTAATATTTAGTTAGTTACTAAAATATAAAATGACTAGTCAATATAATATAAATAAATTACCACATATATGAAAATGTATATGGAAGTTTATGTGAATATTTTGAAGATAAATTATTAATTTTACTTTTTATTTTTAGATACCGAATCCATTATTTGATTTAGCTGGTATTACTTGTGGTCACTTTTTGGTACCATTTTGGACATTTTTTGGTGCAACCTTATTAGGAAAAGCCGTTATAAAAATGCATATACAAAAAATATTTGTTATAATTGCCTTTAATGAATCATTAATAGAACGTGCTGTTGATTTAATTGCTTTGGTGCCAATATTTGGACGTAGATTGCAAGAACCATTTAAAGCATTTTTAGAAAACCAAAAAACCCGTTTACATCGACAGAAAAGTCATCCTACATCAGAATCCGGTAATCTATTGGCGAAAATATTCGAAAAATTTGTGATAGCTATGATATGTTATTTTGTTATTTCTATAATAAATTCATTAGCTCAGAGCTATCATAAAAGAATTCATAAGAAAGGTGGTAAAATATATAGGAAAATTGCAAAAGATTAAAATGATTAGGTTAAAATATTTAATAAAATGTAATTTTAAAAGTATATACATAATTATGAAAATATAATAGTAAATATATATAACGTATATAATTTTACTTTAAAAAAAAAAGAAATAAAACTTTAACCATTGCAAAAATTAAATTAAACTTTTAAAAGATATTATTAATAAATTCCTTTATAATGTAGTTAAAAATAAATAAATGCTAAAAGAAATTCTGTAAACATTTAATAAAGATTCCGCAAAATTAACTCCTTTACTTTTTCCGATTCATAAAAGATGTTTACTTGATAACCTATATTAAATTAATTTTTTTTTGTATGAAATGTTACTTTTAATTTAAGTCTAAGATTTTTCATTTGCTAAACGCTATAAATAAATTAGTTTGAATTAATGCCAAATGAATTAATGCTTTTAAATTTAATTGGGTGATTAGGTTTTTTCTCAAAACTGAATTTTTAAAGGACTTTTAGTTAATGGAGTCAAAATATCTTACTTTATGTTGTTTCACATTATTAATTTAAATATACATAAGTGGTTTTGCAAGTGATATTAATTTGAATGTAGAACTTCAAGGAAATTTATCGGCAACTTTTTTCTAAATAATACAGAAATTTTTTTTAAAAAATATTGGAAAACAAAATAATAGCTTGTATAAGTTGTCACCTGGGGCTATCAACTGTATTACCGACCATGTTGTATTAAATTTCTAGCAAAATACGCTTCAATAAAACCATTTATTGGAATTAACTCATCATACATATTAAAGTAAATGTATAAATACCTAACTTTTAACATTTTTCAAGAATTTTTATACACGTTTCGAATTTGAGCCTACCTCAAATTAAGAAAGGGCAACAAATTGAGATTGTTAATTTTTTTTAAATTAATATTCAAAATTTAAATGCTAATTTCCTTCTGTTATGAACAATTCAATAAAAAACTATAATTGGTTTTTCAAAAAAAGATTTAAGAATAATAAATCTTCAGAATATTTCCTCTCTATATTATAATTTTCTCTTTATTTACAATTAACTTAAATGAAAAATGGTGTTCAAAATATATCGTTACTTTATCCAAATTAAATATTTTAACATCTAAAATAAAGAATATATCCGTAAATAAAAAAACCCCAAAATTTTGCTTTGTTTTTGCTTTGTTTTATATAATATTCAGACTTATAAAAATATAATATTTAATTAAACTATTTACATTGCGCGCTCTTAATAAATTTTATTCAACGTTGTTTTAATTCAAACATTTAGATTAGAATATTTTTAATATACATCTATATACTCAATAAGGTATAATTTTATAACTATAAAGAAATAAAATATAAACGCAAAATAACAATATCGGAATTAAATAAAAAGAAAATGAAAGTTTTTAACTCAATGTACCAATCTTATATACTTAAACGTATTAAATATAAATTTCACATCTATTTAATTAATTGATTTTCTGATTTTTTTTTTATAATACCAAAAAGTTTCGATTTGACTTAAATTGCATCATTTTTTATTAAAGCTTTAGTATTATTCAGTATGAGCAATCTTTAAAATTTAAAGTGCAAAAATTTTTTTTGTTTTTTCAAAACGGCTCTAGTGTTGTATAATTGAAAATAATCACAATTTTTCAGATAACAATTTATATAATCGTAAATGTAATTTAACAATTATGTGGCTTCTTTTTAAGTATATTACCAAAAATAAAAGCAAAAGACTGAAAACATTAAAGAAATAAAGCAAAACTCTTTCTTAAATTTGAATTTATCAAAAAAATTACCAATTGTATACTCTTTTATGCCAAATTCTGCTCATACTAATTATAGGTGGCTTTACAAATTAAAAACCTTTTCTTCTAATTATCACAATTAATGGGATTTAATTGTATAAATTAATAACCACGCTGAAATTTCGATAAATCCAAAAATAATAAAATTTGGTCTTTATAAAAATGCGTTATTGGATTATAAAATACGATGAATAAATGAATCGAATAGTAATTATAAAGATGTTAATTATATTTAAATGATAAAAATTTCAAAAAGATATTAGAAAAAATTAATATTGAAAAACACAAAAGTAAAAAAAAGTTAAAAAAGCATTCGTGAATTTATTGTGTTTTTTTAATGTAAGAAATATAAATTTCCTTTGAGCTTCAATTATACAAAAATGTATCAATTAATTCAAAGTTTTTATTGTTTTAAACACCGTATTAAAAAGAAATTCTTTATTCTTAGAGGTCGCAATTTAATGTACATATATATATTATAAATAAAGATATGAGCATAATATACAAGATAATATTGTTTAATTGAAGCTTAAAAAGTTTTTATGCTATACATTGTTTTACAATAAGTATTCATTAAATAAATTTATAATTTAACATAAGTATCAAAAAATGATGTGTAAAATCGATTGATATTTTGCAAATGAAATTTTTTAAAATCCGTAAATTTATACTAATATAACAATATAGTATTGTAAAATAAAAAATTGTTTTTAAAATGTAAATTAGAATTAAATGACACGTCTAAATTGATACAAAAAAAAAAATGCAAAGAGACATAATAGAAAAAAAAACCAATATACAAATAAAATTTAAAAATAAAATTAAAATTTAATTTAATAAATTTTTATGAAATAATTATATGATATTTAAAAAAGGCATGTATATTTCAACATACATATTATATAGAAAATATTTTACCTTGAAGTTAAACAACTGATTTATCGGGACAAATAACCCGCTATGATATCGCAAGCAATTCGCATTAAATAATATATTCTCAATTCGCTGGAAATAAAAAAATTTTAAACATATAATAACTTTACAAAATAACGTGTACCATTCGTCCTAAAAAATGAATAAATATAATTTACAGGTTCTATTATGTATGGCGAATTATTCAATAAATTTGATGAATGAGATAGTTTTGTATTATATATGGCATTGTATATTCGACGTGAATTTGTCACAATTTTTTTATGATATTTTACTTTAAAATATTATCAATACATAATAGTAAAGGTTAGCGAAATCTGAGGCTCTAGAGAATTCGACGATCTTAAGATGAATTTGTTATACATAATAGGCCTATTTGTTTAAAGGTTACAGAATATCCATTTTTCATTATTAAATTTAAAAATTCTAATAATTTTTAGAATCATTTATAACGCAGAACAAAACATTAGTAAAATAAAATATTAAAAAGTTTTTTGATTAAGATGATAGTATATGTATGTAACTATGAAAATAGTATATGTAATAATAAAAAAAAAAGTATTTTCGAATTGTTTGCAAAAAATTTGTTTTTAAAATCAATTTCTTTCGGTAAACCAGTTGGAAAAGTTGACAAAAAAAAAAAGAGAAAAAAAATTAATAAAGAGTAAATATATACAATTGTAATAGAAATACATATACATATATTAAATATTATTTAGATTGTGAGTTTGTTTTTGAATGTTGTATAATAAAATTTGATTTAGTTGGTTTTTTGGGCACAGTTTGTTTTTAGAAAAAATTTGATGAAATCTAAAGAAAATATAATAATGAATTATTTCTAATTATTTAAATGATTACAATAAAGTGTAAATATTTTATTAATAAAAATATTGTCAAATAAAAATTCATAGTTTTTAGGATTTTTTTTTTTCTTTTTTGAATTTTTTCGAACTATAGAAGATTATTGTAAATTTTGTATTTAAAGAAAACAAAAGTCAGGTCTAATTGTTTTACTCTTATAATAAGTAGGTATATTTTATTTTAGCAAAATTTTTGTATGTGTAGTTTATGTTTATTCAAATTTTTATATAGAGTAAATTATTTTTGTCATATACACAACTGCATACCTTGATGTATTATGTATGTACTTTTGTTATTTGCTCGTATTATTTAAATAAACGTAATAAATATAATATTAATTTTTAATATCTTTTTCGTGATAGATAATAAATGAACATTATTTTCAAATACATTGTTACTATTATATTAAGTATTAATGAAAAATTTAAAACAATTGGTATTTTGAAATTTCTTAAATCTATGACAAATAAAGACCAAAATTTTTGAATGAATTTTTTAAGGTGAGTCAATATAGAAAGAAAGCTTTCTATCCTTTAATTTAAGTATTATCTGATATGGATGGTTTCTCCTTAAGCAAATAAATCTTCTAGCTAAATTAATTTAGCACCCTTTAAAAAAAAAATTAATTATTTTTATAAATCTTATCTACTTGGTATGTTATGACTTATTGGATTTATTATTTTTACCAACAGCATAATTACTTTTGTACTTTCTATTAAAATTTTAATATTAAAGATATGTGTATGAATTTTCATTTGTTCATATGATTCATTATTGGTTGATTTGAGATCTTATCGTATGTGTTCGTCTCCACTGACTGTTTTTAAATAAAATAATTAAATATTCAACTAATTGAATTACTTTTATTCATGTTTGGTACTCGTATAGTTAAACACAATAATTGTACTCGAAGATATGAAAAAAATTGAAGGAGCTTAAAAAATTTTGACTTTAAATACATATGAGTACCAATATCAAAATTTTATTTTATTGGATTCTTTTTGATGTTTTTGTATTATGCATAATATTTAGTTTTTTTTTGTTTTAATGTAAGTGATGAGTGGTGCCCATTCCATTTACATTATATACATATAATAAATTAATTATAAAAAAAATAAATTAAGTATCAAGTTGTAGTAAAGAAAAAAAAAAGATAAAAAAATATGACTTATTTGTTTTATTTTAAATATATAAATACATATATTATATTATTTTTTTCATATTTTAAGTATGTTTTGTGATTTTTCTTTGTTCAACAAATTCAAAGATGATAATTTATAAATAAAAAAAAAATAATTTAAAAAATATTTCTTACTTAACAGATAGCCTCACAGGACAATTAAAATTGTTATTGGTCCAATATAAAAAAAAATAAATTTTTATTAATTTACTATGAATTTTCTATTGCTCAAGGTTATTAGCGACCTAATCATTTATTAATCAATTTTTGTAAAATAAATCTGAGAAACAAGAAGAAACTGTGACAATTAATATGAAGTTAATTTATACTTGGCGTTAGGAATTGTGTACTTTTTCGACTTTAAAATTTATAATTTTTTCTCCAGTGTAGTAATAATGTGTTAAGACATTTCCCTATGAATTTAAAAGAATAGTGTTAAAAAAGATTTTTATTAAAATTTATTACAAGTTGGAAATGAAGAATTACAAAATAAAATTGCTTAAAATTTTAGATAAAAGTGGGAAGTATTTATTTTGGTTTCTTTCAAAGTTTTGAATACGTAGCTATGAATTGATAATTTTTTGAAATACATAATTGAACAACATTTAAGAATATTTTCAACTGTTTTCTGGTATATAATTGCTTTTGAAATCCAAAAAATGATACACAAAAGGTAAATGGGGTATTGAAAGAAGGTATATGGGATTTGTCTTTATATTTTGTTGTCGAAAATATTAGTGTACTTACTTAATCCAATTCTTTTCTTTAATTACTATTTTTAATTTTTTTTTGTGATATGCTAATGGCTAATAAAAAATAAGTATAATTGTTGCGAAGGTAAGTCTAGTGTTAACTTGACGAAAGTTTTTTTTTGTTTCAGTTTATACGTAGAAGAATAGCTGATAAAAAGGACTGTTTTTAAAATAAGGCGTTTGTTTTTATTTTAAAGGCAAACACATGAGGTCAATTAAGGGATTAATATTTACTAATGTTTGGTTTTTGAAATTAGTTTGCAGAGTTATAACTATTTAGCTTGGAATTTTTTAAAGCATGTATTTGATTCTGACGAAATCTTTTATTTTTGTGAATTTTACTACATTGATATCATATTGAAACTGTTTACATTTATTCGGGCTAAGAATACAAAATTGTTTTGCCTTTTCAATTGAAAATTTGCAGTTGAATTAAAAGTCTAGTAAAACAAATACCGTTAAATACTGGTTAAAGGTTCAAGGTTAAATAATTTCAATTATCAAAATGAGTTTAAATACAATAAATTATTCATGTTAAATTAACATTTTTAAATTGAATGAACTGAAATTTTTTTTCCGATTAAAAATATTTTAGGTAAATTAAACCTTTTGTTTTAAATAGAACGTTATTTTTAGCATAATGATAATTTTTATAAAAACAAAGGTATTAATGAATTTCGTCATTATGTATCTATTAATTATTCAAATGTTTAAGTCTATTTAGAATATGGAAACAGTTAAAAATAATAAAATGCGGAAGCAATTTCATTTGTTTAATGAAGGTTGCGGAACATTGAATTGTTTTTAGTTATTTTTTTTTTTAATGTATGCATGACGTCCGTACGTATAATGATTAAAACTAATGAACTTATTAGTTTTATATTTTTACATATCGCGGTCTCCCTCTATAACAACAGTTTCGTTTCGAAACAGTGGACTTTTTTATAGAAGTTATTTTCGAAGTTGTTATTTCGATTAATTAAAAATCCTTTTTTATTTAGAAGATTTTTTAAGTGGCCCTTTGACAAATAAGTTTTTAATGCAATTCTATTTTAGTTCTAACGAAAAAAAAAACTCTTTTAAAGCACAAAATCAAAAATGTATTCTATAAATTTTAAATATAAAATTTTCTGAATGTGATTGTGAATAAAAGTTGAGTATTACATTCGGATGTTTTTGCAAAATTCTTTCTTATTAAATAGCTTTTATATGCACAAAGTATACACATATATAATGAATAGATAACTGACACCCTTTAAATAAACCCTAAAATTGTATACTTTTTTATTTTATATTATATATAAATAATTTTGTAAAATTATTAAATGATTTACTTTTTGCAACACTATAGATGATGATATGACGTCTAGACTTTAGAATATACGGCTATATACATAATTCATCGTTGATATTTGTTTTATAATTATTTTTTCTGCTTTTTTTTTTTTGTAAAACATAAGTAGATGTTTTGGAATTCAGCCAAAAGTGTAAATTTGAAAGGGTTATAAATACATATTCAATATAAATGTGTATATATATATACATATTCTTTTATTATTCCAATAGCCGCTTAAAGTCTCGCTATATGTGAGACATCAATTAAATTTTGTAAGAGCTTATATATTGTATAACACACACACAGTTCCAAAATTTTTTTTTTATTTTTTAAATATTTTGTTGATTTTTGTATTAAAAAGAGTACAGGATGTTTACTGGGAATTAAAGAGGGGAACTGAATTTTAAAAAATTTAGAGATTTTCATAAACGCAGTACTGCAAAATAATAACTGCGAAGTGCAATGCTGCAAGAATAATGAGTATGCAATATATTTTTAACCTTTCTATAAAATCAAAACAATTCATGTGATTTAACTGCGCTATTTATACTTATTTTGCTATATCGAACGGTTTTACGAGTAGCAAATTTTTTAAATATTGACGTATTCAATTACGTTGATAAAACGATTGTACTTCCCGAAACGCCTGTACTGCACGATTTTCACATTTAGAAAAATTAAGTACAAATTGTATAAAAGACAAAATTTATTTATTTTAATTGTTTTATTATTAACAGACAATTATCAAATTAAATTTTTGTATTGAATTTCAATTCGTAATTGTGAAAATGAAGCTGCACAAAATGAAGCTATCTTTAAGCGGGTTTTTATACTGATATTGAATACATACATATACATATTTATTTATACATGGCTATATTGAAAATGACTTCTTATTATATGCTTTGTTTTTACAGAATCTACGCATGAATATGTATGCAATACATAGCTATCTACATCTATATATTATGTGTATATATATCTTTTGAGAGCGAAAATGCAAAAGGAAGCCATTTAATTATAAAAGAAAATTGTAAAAAGGATGGGTAACTTTATTTTATTTTTCTTTTTTTGTTATTGAAGCTTTTGTTAAATACATAATAATAAAAGAGTGAGAGAAGCGGAAATGCTTTAGAAAAAATGACAAGTATGTTTTTTTAAGTTAATGATTGTTATCTTTTTAAAAATTATTTGTGCAGAAAGAAAAGTTTACTTGTTGTGTGAAATTTTACATTTTTAATATAGAAAAGTTAAATTGAAAATTTTTCAATTAAATTATACAAAATATTGAGAGTTAATATGCATTTTGGTTGACATGTACGAAAAAGGAAGTTTCTGTACATAAAGTTAGTTAAGTACATAAAGTGATTACTGGTTGTATTTAACAAATTCGGAATAAATTAATTAATATGAGTGGTTAAGTCGCGTTGATTTTCAATAATAATGATTATATAATAAAACTTCTATTAGACTACAAATTTTACTATTTAATCTAAGTAAGTCTGATGAAAATCGTATATATAAACCCTGTTCGAAACAAAACTTTGTCTGCGACGACAAATAACAGAAATTACACTATCCTCATCAGACTTACAGTCTAATTTTTCAAAATTTTTTATTTTGTAGAAAATTGTTATATTTTGTCTGAAATGATTTCAGCCTATCAACAGTTATCAGTGTTGCCTTCGTGTTTAGAACATTAATGGTATAAATGAATACGATTTTTATGAAATATATAGTATACACGTTATATACGTATTCAGTTTTTATGTAAACTTGTTTATTTCTTATGAGTTTTATTCTCATTTCCTATAATTCGCTTTTAAAATATTTAAATTTAAATTTAAATTCAAAAGAGTACAAAATATTTTCAAATCTTTGTTCTTTTTTTTTTTTGCACAAATAATTCTTTAATATTTTTTATCCTCGCAAATTTTTTTTCTCACATTTCTATTAGGTTATATAATATACATGTACATACATATATATACAAACGAAATTCCTTTTTATTTTTTTTTTGTTTTTGTCGTTGTAAAAATATGATAGAGAGAAAACAACGAACCCTTATTGGAAGTATTATTCCAATTTTTCCATTCACTACATACATACATATTTCATACATATTTTAATAAAGAAAGAATTTTCATATATACAAGTAAATACTTATATACACAATAAACAATTATATATATATAATAATAATATTATACGGCTCAGCCATGAACACTTATACATACATATTTACATTTATATAATATGTATACATATATGTATAATAATATATGTTATTTTGTTTTTCTTTTATTCTTCTCTGTTATCATTCTATTTCCCTCTTATATATTCCCGTCGATATTATTATTATAATAAGTTTGCTATGTATTTTTCAAATTGTAAAAATCATTTACAAAAAAATAATTTTCTTTTCATTCAGTTAAGCAACAGGCTTCATAGAATTCAAATCGATAAAAAAAAAATATATTTGTTTCAATATTCCGTTCCGGTGAAGAACATTGTTAAATTTTTTTTTGTTAAAAAAATTAAATTTTTAGATAATTTTTTAAAAGGGGGAAAAAAAGTTGAAAAAAAAAAAACATTAATTAAAAATTTTAATATAAAAAATTAAAATATTTAATTAATAAAATAAAATTAAAATTTCTATTTTTTTGTGATTGAAATTCTCATCTCAAAATTATGTGTAATTAAAAAACAAAAATAAAAAAATATATAAATTCCCTTACGAAATTTTGATTGTATCTCTTCTACATCATCTTATATTCGTTGAAAATTATTGTTATATTATCTAAATAAAATTATTAATAACACGTGTTTAAATATAAATTTAATATAAAAATATTTTATGCAATCTTTCCAATATCTCTCTATATATATATATAAGAATAATAAAAATATTGTAATATATAGTTTTCCCGAATTATATAGTTCCTTAAGATATTAAAATAAGAAAAACAAAAAATAGGAAAACTATCTTTGTTTTAAAGATTTACATTTACATATATTATAGAGGTAAATAAGAAAGGAATTATTGCATGCGTGTACAAATGTTTACTCAAGGATTTTAAATAACGAATTAATTTATTAAATTAATTAATCAAATTATGAAATAATAAAATAATTAAATAAATTGTTATTTTTTTTACACCAATTCTTACAATATATTTTTATTATGTATGGTATAATTATTACATTTAAATATAAATAAGAAGAATTGAATTTGAAAATAAAAAAGGAAAAATATAGAATATTAATATAGACACAATTTTAATTGACACAATAAAGATTAATTCTGATATATATAAAAATATTTGCTAAATTGATATATATATATATATATATATATATATATATCATATTATATATATATATATATATATATATATATATATATGTACTTTATATAAATATATAAATATGTGATTTATATTACATTTTATCACATAAGCTATGCCATATTAAAATCGTAATATGTTACAAGCATCGCATAATTTTGTGATATAATAAATATTATTTTTTTTTTTTTTAAATATTAAAATATAATATGTAACATAATAGTAATAATAATAACAATAATATGTTAGGTAAAATTTTTTATATAAAAGAAATTTTAATAATGAGATTTGCATAAGGTTTTTTATTTTTTTACATTTTTTTTCGCCAAAGAAAAAAACAATATAAAGGTATAAAACGAAAAAAATATATATACATATATAAATATATATATATATATATTTGTTTTATTAAAAAGGATATTATTATGTATGTATTTATTTCCCAAAGGATTAATAAAATTCTTACAAAAAATATATATATATATAACAATTTACTATAAAAATACACAAAAGTAAACAAAAAACAATAAGAAATAAAAAAAACAAATAAGGATGTTTAAAATTCTAAAAGTGTATAACATATAAAATTAATATATGAATGTAATTTAGAATTATTTTCTATATATATATATATATATATATATAGCTACATGTATTATTCTTAAATACCTTTTAAATATTGTATACTACACACATAATTATATTTGCATACTTATAGGATGCTATAAATATTATTTTTTATTATATATTTAGACAATAAATACGTGAATTAAATAAATCTTACATATACATATATATATATATATATATAGAATTTGATAAAAGTAATAAATACTTTTTCTATATATAAACATATAAATAAATAAAAGAAATAAAAAGAAGAGATTATTATGGATTTCAAGAATCGTGACAGCGCGGAAAATAAATTTGTTTGCCCCAGTGATAGACAACTTGCATTACGTGCTAAGTAAGTAAATTTAATATATTTGTTGTATGTTATAAAAGAGATTTTCTATATATATAATTTTTAATTATTTTGTTATTTCAAAATTTAGTACGAAAAAAATAAAATAAAAACAATATTACAATAGTTATTTGATGCAGCAACTTTCTCTAAACGTGTAATATTGTAGGTATTTAACACTCCCAAAATAGTCCTAAAGAATAATTGTTCACTTTTATTCCGGTAGTTGGATTAACATTTTTATGTGGAAAATTAGAGTTGAAACTGTTTTGTTCTTATAGTCTTATTATTAACAGTAAATAATAGGATTTCTGTACAAAATAGCATAATGATTGCAATCTATTCAATCCCAACTATTTGTGAATTGTTCACAAATTTCATAATTCTGTAAAATGAATGTAATTTTAAAAATCATTTACTAAATAAAAATAAATAAAATTTTGAATTATATTAGCATTATCATTATTTTTATAATAAGATTAATTTGTTTCAGTAATTTCTAGGCTGCATTAAAGATATTTTTCTATCAAACCATAAGTCAATTCGGCTTGAATGGAATTTGAATATTTTTAAAGTTCAAATCATTAAAATTTTTTTTAATATAAGTACATGCCCAAAAGATTATTAAATTGAATTGAATTCTGAATTTTGTTCTGCTTTAATGTGCTATTGTAATTACAAAATATCTATTCTATGGGAAATAATAAAAAAGAAATCCATCAAATGTGATGAGTATTTGTTATATTCCATTTCCTATAAGTATACAATTATTAATTTAAATTATTACTATTCGTACTTAAAACAAAAACTCTGTATATAGCTCTTAACATCATTTTATAATATAAATTATCCATTTTTTTTATATTTTTACTAAAAATTTTATTGGAATTAATTAAATATCAATTATTTTAATTGCGTTATTTTTATCAATAACATGCAACAATTTAACAGTAATTAATATATGTATTGCAATTTAGAAACATGGACAAAAAGAGACAACTATGAAGAATTGAATTAAGTAATATATTAAATTCTTTTTAAGAATATTGTATACAAATTGTCAAAATATAAAAGAAATCATTGAAAACTTGTAGGATGTAATTTATGTATTAGAAAAAGTTTAACACAAACAATATAACAATTATCATTAATGAGGGTGTAAAAACTTTCAAAAGAGGAGACATAGTAACAGGAAAAAATTAAATGAGAAAATACAGAAAAGGATGAATACTTTCTATATGTTTTATTTTTTATTAACTTTTTTTTTTGTATATTTTTTCAAGATAAATTAGTTTTTGTCAATCAAAGAGTACATATGTATACGTAGGAAAATCATTTGTGTTTACATTTTATTTTAATATCATAATGGAATACGTGTCATTTTTAACATTTTTATTAATATAGGATAATATAATAATGCAACAACTATATATATATTTTTCTGTTTATTATACTTTTAATAATTTTCGAACAGTCGGATCTTAAATAATTAAGAGTTTCTTGTGATATAATGTATGTTTGATTAATGTTAAATCACAACAAACCTTAAAATTTGGTAACATTGTAAAAACTCGGGACATTACTTAGGGTAGAATTTAGTTTTTGAGTGCTCATTTATCTTCTTAAAGTTCATTTGGTTATTCTATTTAAAAAAATATAAAGTTGGTCTGGAAGAAAACCGCTTTAATTGCTTTCAAAATTTTCTCAAATAATTATTTCAAACATGACTAAAAATATGCCGCTAATTTTAATATACTACTAAAAGCTTTTATTTTATAGATTCGAATAATGAAAAATTAAGGAGTTTTTTATGAAAATTATTCAGGAAGATTGACATACATAAATAACTCTACTGGCTGGGCTATAAAAAAGTATCAGAGAAATATGAATTATTGTGCGAAAATGTGAATCCTTTGTAATACAAAAAATTCGTATGGGCTTATATAAATTATAACTAAAACTGCAAATCATACTACAGATTCCAAAATTAAATATCTTCAAATTCTATAATATGAAATGAAATTTAATTAACTTGTGATTAATACTTTCACAGTTTCTAATTCTATTAATGATCTATTTGCATGAAAATTGATTACTTTTTTAGTAAGATTGTACTTGTACCCTAATATATGCATATATGTGCTTTTTAAATAACCATTATTAATAATTTCAAAACGTAATTATATTTATGTAATTTCTTTCCATTTGTTTTTTCTTTTCAAATTTACCAAAATCCTGCCATTAATTTAGATTTTGAATATTATGGAATTTTTTATTATTCTATAATTTTGTTATAAGAAAAAAAAAATGCTCCTCTAATTCGTGTTGTATAACTCAAATGATAATAAAAAATTCTGTTGTTGTTTTTTTTTTTTGTAAGATTTCCGATAAAAATATCAAATATTCTACATTATATTTGCAAAATTATCAAAAAAAAAAAGACAAAATTTTGCATTATATGAGCCCTAAGGATATTTTTTATTCAAAATATTTTCTATATTTTATTTAATATGAATTTTAAAGTATTATACGTATAGCATATAACAAAAACGATAAAAAAAAATCAGATTTCTTTGAATTTTTGTCATTGAGTTTTTAAAGTTTTCTTTTGTTTCTGTTTTCTGTGTGCACAGAAGAAATTCGAAATATTTTAGAAATTTCAATATCAAAAAATTTTTTTTTTCGAAATTAAAAACAATTTTTTCTTATTGAAAATATTAAGTAAATATGTACGTGTATGTATGTATATAAATCAGGATAATCAATTCATATTAGTCTTGATAGACAACAATATTGATGGGTGTCATTTCTATTGAATATTTCATGAGAAATTAATGTTAATCCATTTTATTTTTTTTTTTACTTGTATAGATTTTATATTTTTATTGAATTTTTTTCTGTGTTCAGGCGTCTATAATAAAAATTTCACGAAAATAATATTTAAAATAAAAAATATAATGTTAAATTATATAAAAAGATTTTTTATAATTTCTATTGCAAAAATGGTGTTATTTTTATTCTCAATATTTGAACAAGTTAAATTAAATTATACATATCATTCATTTATTTGAATGTAACATAGTCTATTTTAGAATTTTAACTAAAATCTACAATATATACAATACAAAATCTGATATATATCATAAATGGTATATATATATATATATATATATATATATAAATGATATATATATATATGATATATATATATGATATATATATATATATATATAATAATAATAATTTTTTTTGGTATATATAATATCGTATAGTACGTATCTATTTTCGCATAATAGACTGCAATATTTATTTTTTGAAAAGATGTATATATATCATAGCGATCATTATTATAACTAAAATAATAATTACATTTATCGTAAATCGTATTTTTGTAGCATCACAACTGCTACCTATTCTAATTTATAATTTTATAAAAGCAATATTTGTACTTCTATTTCTGTCATTATAAATGAAACAATTAAGCGATTAGCATAGTAAATTTAGTTAATTATAACAAAAAACAATTAAACATTGTGAAGTGCGACTAGGTATAATATTAATTAAAGCTTGATGTAACATTAAATTTTAATTTAATATATTTAAAATAAATGTTAACATAGTTAATTAATATAAAATTATTAATATCAAATAATTTATAATATCATGAAAAGTAATCCTGCCTTCTGAATAAAATAATTACGTATAGTCGTTTGAGAGCCAAGACTTATAACCACCGTTCTAGGAACAAAATGTATTGAATCAACTTGTCTCAAAATATTGGAATTGTGTTGTCTATAACTTGATTTTTAGCACAATACGTTTATACATTAATTTTTTTCCAGTTTTACATCCAGTATTTTTTTTAGGAACATGGAATCAACTATATTTGAATAAGGAAAAAAAATTAACGTTTCAAATTGATATATATCATTCATGATATATATGAAATCTATATATATCATTTGTGATATATATCAATTTTCGGTGCAAAAAATCTATAATTAAACAAAATTTTCATTTTTAATGTTTCTAAAATCAATATTCGCATTAATAAATGAATTTCTCTGTAAGCATAGAAAAGATCAAACAATAATAAAGGTTTTAATTCTTAACCTTAATTCTTAAAAAATAAAAAAAAGGCGTAGGTGTTTAGAATTTTCATAATTATCTTTGTTTGTCTTTTCACAATCATATATACATACACATATATATATATACATATTTAGAATTTATTTTTAATTTAAGATCCAAAATTTCTTTTAATTTTATATTTTTAAAATTGGTTACCATTATTGTTATGTTTTATTGTTATGCAACGAATTATTGTTTTCAACGAATTTCGTTTTGTTTATTAAATTTTTAATTATAAATATAGAAAAAAATTTATAGAGAATTTTGTAATATTCAGAAGTGAATATTTACCGTTATTTCTGTGAATTTTAGAATATTAACAGAAATGATGGTATTTTCATTACAAAATGAAGAAAAATTTTCGGATTTATACGAATCTCATTGTTGATTTTTCAATAAATTTAGCATTTTTTTTAATAATTATTAAAAAAGGGGAAAAAACATTATTTATACAATATTTATATTTCTTAAAATTCTCGTAATTTTATAATTTTGTAATTGTATAAAAATTAAATAATTTTATTTATTTCTTTCTGTTTTTCTATGATAATAATTATTAAGAATTTTTAATAATTAATATACAAGAATAAATATATGCATGTATACACAAATATTATTAATATTTTTCATAGGAATATTGAAATATTCCCAGTTAAAAAAAAAAATATTAAATGAAATCTCATTTAATATTTTTTTAATTTTTTATTAAGGGCATTTTTTAAACCTACTCAATAATTCCGTACGTGTTACAAATACCCTTATAATTTTATTTTCATCAAAATTTTGCGATTAGTCCTTAATTTTACGTAGAATTTTTAAGCAAAAACAGTTGTTCAATAACTTCTTTAATATTATAAATTGGTTAAATTTTC